GCTGCCCATGGGCAGAGGACACCGCAGGGCCCTGGGGGGGCTGGCATCAGAACAGCCCTGCCTGCTGGAGTGCAGGAAGCCTGCCAGATCTCTCCAGGGGCCTAAGGCCTGGCATCCTCTGCTGTGGTGACATGTGACGGTAGTTCTCAGCCTCTCTTTATGCGATAGCTTGGTCTTCCTCTTTCTGCGCATACATTAGGTGCACACAGTTCTCCACTGCCAAATTCCTGCACCCCGGCCTCCAGCCTCCTGAGTAATCATCTGCACCCCGTCCTCCACACCAAAAACCCTCCACCGCCAGAACAGCAAAGCTGTCTCTGGCCCTGCCACCTCCTCCTGCCGCTGGCTGAGAGACAGAGAACACCTGGGAGGAGGAATGAGGGATGGGAAGAGAGGAAACAACAAACAAGCCAGGAAAGAGCTTCACTCCCTTCCGCATTCTGCCTCCACCCAGAGCTGAGCATTGCTACTGCAGGCAGGGGTGAGCTGGTCGCTCCCTCTCCTCTCCAGCAGCCTGTTTGGTCCTGCACTGGTGATCCACTGCTGGCCACCCCTGATCTCATACCTGCTGCCCAGAACAAGTGCCCTCCTCTCCGCTTGTCCTTTTGGATGCTCTTGCCAGGGGATCTTGTGACGGTTATTCACTTTGTGATCAATTCAAAAGCCACTCGCTCCCTGATCACCATTCCCCACCAGCTCGGGGGCTGCCAGCCCTACCAGCAACACAAGCAAATTGCAGCATCGACCACGAGGAATATCCCAGGGCCCACGGGCTGACTGCATCCATGCCTCTCGGACCAGCCTTGCTAGGTTCTCTGCCCCAGTATAACAGCATCCTTGGAAATGACGAGAGGCAGCAGCTACTGACAGCCACTGAGGCCAGCTCTGCTCCCATCCTCCCCGGCCATCAGGGAGAAGGTAACATCACACAAACAGATTACAGTTGTGCTAGCGGTGAAGCCAACCTTCTGATCTACAGAAATGATAATAAATAATAAAATAACATCATAACTTAAGATCTGTGTGTAGTCCAGCTACAAAAATTTAAAAATATGGGATAATTTAACTCATACAATACTGCTCTCTGTATAAGTAAGACATTTTCCTTCATTTTGCCATGAGGCTATAAATTATCACAGTTAAATTCAAACCAATATTTTAACAAAAAATGTAAACAAACAAAGCAACAGAACTACCTGTCCATGGTCCATTCCTGCCGTTCATCTCAGGCTGGTGTGCTAGTCTGCAGAGCAGCACCCAGCAGCACGGCCGTGCACCACACACTCGTGGCACAGCCGTGCCAGCCAGCACGCTCGGAAGGGCAGAGTGAAAGCTCTTGTAGGGGGACATCAACTAAGGTGGGAGGGGAAACGTGCTCTATCATTTTGTTCTCTTTAAATATTGATTTAAAAGAGTAGTGTTTGAAGGGAAGGCACTATGAGTTCTATCAGAAAACAAATTTTTTCTCATCTGCCAATGCCTCGGCCTGTCACATACCAGTCCTGTCCTCACTTTCACCCGCACAGTTTCAGCTTGAAGAAGAAACAGAGGCCTCAGGGTACACCCGAGACACAGCTGTGCCACAGCCACCAGCAAGATTCCCTGTGCAACCTGTTTTGCACAAAGCCTGACATGAAGGGCAGGCAGCTGTTAATGCTTTCCCAAGAACGTACGGTGAATAAGGAGACGAGCAGGGCTGATGCTCTTATCTAGGCCAGTGATTCCCAGTCTTCCCCCTCAACACACAGCTCTCTGCTGGTTATTGATGCTGCTGTAGGTGAGAGACTGCTTCTCCAAGTCCAGTCCAGGCATCTCCAGTTTCCTCCCCAGAGGAGTGCTCAGGCTCTGCAGAATGTGCTTTCCACCGTCTGCAAGTTCTTGCTTTTCCAACACTGATTTGATTGATTTCTTGGACTGACTGAAACAGACAGGAGGTAAGAGGAGGAAGTAAACTGGGAAAATGGCACACTGCATCTGAAAGAGGTTTCCCTGCTCAACTGGAGATTGACACTGCCAGAGCGAAGCAAGGACGATGTTAAGAAGTGCTCCTATACCAATTCTCGGGAGGACGAGGTTAGAATACATTTGCAGGATCTCACAACAAAATGCTGATTAAAAAAAGAAACTAAAAATCCTTCAAATAAAACCCACTATTACATTCCTGGGGATGTATCAACTCAGAAGACCCTGGATGTTAGCACCTCGGTACCAATTTTCTCCAGGAACATGTCCACCTTCTGATTAAAAATGACCCAGCTGGTTATACTGAATACGCTTTGTTCACAGGTTACCCTACAGTAAGGTCTTTTAATGCTTCCTCATTTGATAAGACTGAGTGGTTCAGTTTTCTTGATCTGTTCTCCAATCTTCAGGGCCACGAGGCCTGGTCCCCTGTGAAAGCAGCAAGAGAATCCTCCCGCGTCTGTACACAAAGCTGTCCAGGCAGGACTCCCAGGATGTTTCTCTGTAATGTGCTTGCTTTCTGAACTTTTTTTTTTTTTTGCAACAAGTCTTTGTGTCTATAAATACAATCCACTCTTTACAGTAAAAAGTGTTAAAATGTCAAAAAAATAAATATCCATGTTACAGTAACTAGATTATTCAATAAAATACATCCCTGCCATTCTTGATTGAAATGCTCAAAGAGAATTAATTTCATTTGGACATTTTCCAGAGATTCGGGTTATTGCAAATCACTCCTGGGGTGGGAAGGAGAAGCATCTTCTCTTCCTGTAAAGTGTGATGAAGGGGAATGAAGTGGAATCTCAGGGAAATCAAAATGCCAGTATCAGGAAGCTTTGGGGGAGATCTGTATTACCAAGTAGCAGAGCTGCAGGGCTTATTGGTCCTGACCGTGGCATCAGAACACTCCCCTTCAGAAGAGTCACAGTCTGATTCTCCAAACTGTGCTGGGTTCTGCAAAGTAAAAGGAAAGGGGAAGATGTCAGCAATATTCCTGCGCTGCAGATTAACCCCACCACCCCAATCTGTAACAGCAGACAAAGGTCACCACCAGCAGAGATGGAGAGATTGGCAGCACACAGGAGATAGCAACAACACACAAGCACCCCACCAAAGGTCACTTGTCTCCCCTCAACAAGGGGACAGCAGAAAAAATATCTGGTCAGAGCACCACCAAACAGAGTTATGAGAAGATGGTGCAACTGGCTCTGCCCTCCCCCTCCCAAACCTTGAAAGACAGTAAAAGGAAGAAAACCATCCGAGCTTCGTCAGCAGGGCTGCCAATGGATAAGTTTGAGGCAGACAGTTTATATCCCTTCCGTTTCATTATCTACTTCATGTGCTATTTTTTATCCCACTTAATGCAAATGCAAATCTGATGGCCTCCCAATATCACACTCATCTTGACCAGCAAATTAAGTTCAGCTTTGTGCTACTTTTCTCAATCTACTCATCTGGCCCAGTATGAGAAAGACTGGGTATTTAAGCAGTTGCTTCGCTGTAGTACATCTACCACAGCGTTTCCTAGGCAGTCATCCAACTTTCTGGCCCTTGTATTCCTTTCCATAACACAGTTGGGTTTTGTTTTTTTTTTTACTCGACAGAAGGAAGAGGGGATTGCTAAGCTACCAACTCACCTCGCAGCTGTGTTCATCCGCACAAAGTTTGCCCAGAGACATCTGAGTCTTGACTCTCCGCACAGCACACTCTTTGTCTGAAAGCCCATCAGACTGGGTGGAGATTTCAATGGGGATCTCTGGAGTCTGGGACAACATGTCCTCCAGCTTCTCAGCCAGCTCATCTTCCAGCTTGGTGGCCACCTCATCCGGGCTGTTCGAGTGATCGCTCGTGTTCCCCTCCTCTCCATCCGACACAGAGAAGTTCTCTGAGCTGAAGGTTGAGTAGGACTGGCAGCTACTAATGCAGCGGTGAGGTCTGCAAACCAGGAGAGTAGACAAGCTTGTATCACAGTGCCTTTGACTGCAGAGGAAAGGCAATTTTCTGGGTGCTGTGTTCAGCTACCCAGCTACAGCTGGCCTCGACAGACCCCCCACTCAGCCCTGGGTGAGCCTGTCCCCAGGAGCCTACTGCCAGCTAGAGAAGTTACAGCTTCTCGGTGGACAGGTTTCTGCACACGCTCTCACTGCACAAAGTGAGAATGAGCTGGCAAGCCTGCTCCTGACGTGTAGCAAGGGCTCCAGGCAGCTTTCTTTCAGGACATATCTCACAACCAAAACCCTCATGACATCAGTAGTGCAGTGAGTGCAGAGTGGCTGCTACATCCTCACACAGGTTGCCCTTGCAAACCTCCCATCTTCCTTTCTGAAGCACGCCATGCAGAGCAGATTTTTGCACCAGTAACGGGCACATTCAGCGCAAGAAGAGCAGGGCTTGCCCACAGAACCAGGCAGCCCAGACCGCCCAGTCCTGTTCTCCCCAGCGCATACCGCTCAGGCACAGCGCACACAATAGTGCCTGGCTGCTTCTCCATGCTAGGCTAAGGGCTTGATCCTGCCAAAAATATCTTTGAGCAAAACGGGTCCTATTCCTGGAAACAGTTTTACATCAACTCTCCAAGAGCCTCTTCCCACCCTAAGAAAACATCTCCAGCTGAGCCATAGCTGGTCTGCAAGGCTGGCAGCAAGAGCTCTGCAAAGTGTTGGGCTGCCTTTCACATTTTGGAGCTATGGAAATCTACCACCTTTTCAATGATTTACTTGAGGATCTGCATCTTTAAACTCATCTGGTCTTATTTGCTCTTGTCTGCTACACGTTTATACCAGCTGATCTGCCCTGGCACATATTTTCCTTTAAAAGTGCTTCTTCCCAAAGAAGGGCTGCACTGTAGGGCTCGAGCTAATTCAGCCGGGAGTATCTGTACCACCTGGCAGTGACCCTGACAGCTGGGCTGGAATTTAGGCATGTGTGCTTAAAAAAATAAGCTCACAGTTACCTGAATGTGGAAATTGCCTCATGCCAAGATTCATCAGTAATGGAACAAAATATTGGTTGACTGAACACGCCAAGAGACCCACAACATCATTCCATTGAAATCAGGAAAGGCATTTTGTCTTCCAAGTTAGTTAATCACAGGAGAAGCAACAAACACATATACAAGAAAAGTATAAGTCGGAAAATTCATCTAGCCCAGCGTTCTGTCTCCAGTTCTTGTCAGGAAGAAATAATCAGGGAAAAGTATGAGAACAGGGTGTGCAGACAGAGCCTGCTTTCTCCTGGCATATCTCCCTGCTTTGCACCATTCAGCAGGTCAGACTTCTGAGCTGGAGATCAAGTCCGGATGGCAGTGCTTAACAGCCACTGATGGATCCATAAATTTAATGCTCATGACTTGTTTATGTTTTGACTTCCACAGCATACCTTGACAATGAGCTCCGCATCCAACAACGTTTTGGATGGAAAAAGCACTTCCTCTTGTTCATTTTAAACCCCTGTTTGCTTCACTAGGCGTCCCTAACACGAATGTGAGGAATCATTCCTTTTTTCTCTACGCAAATTACAATTTCATGCACCTCCCGTGTCACCTCTCCTCCTGCTAGACAAACATTTCTCATGGATTTAATCTCTTCTTCTATGGAAACCATGTCTAACCATTCTTGTCACACTTCTCAGTACCTTTTCAAGTATTACCATGGTCTTTGAGCTGGGACAATGAAGATGGCATTTAGGATTCAAGCTGCAGCTGTGCTGTGGATGTATACAGCAGCTGACAAGCTTGTGTTTTCTTCTCTGCTCCTTTCCTAACAACTCTTAACCTATTTGCCCACTGGATCCCTTCTGCACTTCAAGCAGCTGCTTTCATACGGCTCCAGCACCAATTCCGTGATCTCTTTCCTGAGCACAGGACCGTAAAGCCCGCTGTTACATATGCTTAGGTAGGAACACCCCTCACGTCTTACTTTACAGGCGACACCATCAAATTTGATCTGCCGTGGTGTCACCTAGCTCTTCAATCCTATTTGAATTCAGCTACAAAGGTGCTGGAGTCAGCCCTACTGCAGCAATAGTTAATAAACATTTGAAAGAGTCCACACAGGCTCCCAACATAAGTCTGATTCTGGTGAAACAGATGCAGCAGCAATTTTTAAAGGCTGAAAAACGTTATCAAGTGTGATTGAGTTGTGCCACAAACAGCCTGCAGCAGAGAAGCTATGCTGGAGAGAACAGAACAGGCTGAAAACAGTGAGTGATCATGAAGGATCAGCTGAGGGTGGATGAGATGCACTGAACACAATTCTGTTCTTTTGCCAGCACCTGCCGCAGTTGCAGTGCTGATGTGCAGCTGCCATGACAGTTGTCCTCCTGAGTTTTGCCCCACCAAAGAGAGACTAGAGTGAAGTCACCTTTTACCTTTGTCTACGAGGAAACTCCACTTCACTGTCTACTTCGCCCTCTTCCTCTTCTGAAGAGTCGTCACCACTCTGGCAGAAAACAAGGACAAGAATGGTGTCACATTTGTGAAAGGACAAATACCTAACTACATGGCTGCCCCTTGGTCCTCCAGGACAAAGTCACAGTGTCAACAGGCTGCAACAATCTAGACAAGAAAACGTGCGTAGCAGTGAACACTGACTCAGACATCTTCTTACCAGGAGATTGTTTCAGGCAGTCTTAATGCTTCCATTTCTGAACTGGGAGTGACTGATTTTGAAATACACTGGAGTGCTTTAGCAGGCACTGAGTACATCATGTTCTGGATTTTTACAGAAGCAAATCAAGTAATTTTTATCAGACTGAAATCTACATAAATTAGTGACCTGATCTGGCACTCTTGGCTTTACGACTTCAACCCTCTTCTACATGAGCCCATCACAGAGCAGGATGGGGGATGACACAGCCTTTGCTGGTAGGTTTCACCAACTAGTAAAACATGAGTTTTGTTCCATTTTCTACCTCAGTCCGCACAGAGCCTTTTATTCTCCTTTTCCCATCCAAATCCACCCCTTGCACTTTTGGCTTTTACAGCTTCCTCCTGTCCTATCCAACCTGACAAACCCTGGGTCAGACTCAGCCTCTGTCTCATTCCTTCCCCTTATAACATGAGATCCTCCTCCTCCCTTCATTCTAGGCTCAAAACACATTTTTGGTCTGGTACTCAGCCTCTTTTTCTTCACTTTTCCACCCAAGCCCAGTTTTCCTGCTCTTTGAACTCTACTCAGACTAATTCCTCCTCTCACCACCTGGATGGAAGCAGGAAGAATGAAGAACTGTTTCTGTACAACAGTGCCATAACATCTTTTTGACTCTTGAAAAATCTTCACAACATACATGAGAACTATGACATTCAGTCACGGGGGACAGTTTCTGGCAGGTGCAGCAAAAGGCATGTCCCCAAGACCATGGCAAATGTTGAATTTCTGCTGCACAGCAGCACTACAGATTCTCAATGAGACTGGTACATGATATTTAACTTCACCTAAAGAATGCATTTACCCCTTCCTTTTTTTGAGAAAGGCTTGAAAACATTTTGAGACGTTTTCAACCACAAAAAATCAGCAGACCAAGTTTCAGCTGAAATAAAAAAGTGGCTAAACTGCAAGTAACAGTGCTAGGCCCCATCAAAACCACATTTGACAACCCTCACTATTAGCAGTATGCTCCAATATGCCTGCAGTACTTCTCAATAAAATTGACTCTAAAAATATGTCCAGATTGCAAAGCAAAGTTCAGATATGATTTCTTTGAGATAAAGTTGCACTCTGCTGCTGTGTGCATGGGAATCACAGAATCACAGACTGGTTTGGGTTGGAAAGGACCTTAAAGATCATCCAGTTCCACCCCTGCCATGGGCAGGGACACCTCCCACCAGCCCAGGTTGCTCAAAGCCTCATCCAGCCTGGCCTTGAACCCCTCCAGGGATGGGGCATCCACAGCTGCTCTGGGCAACCTGGGCCACTGCCTCACCCCCCGCACAGTGAAAAATTTCTTCCTAATGTCTAGTCTAGATCTCCCCCCTTTCAGCTTATACCCATTACCCCTTGTCCTCTCACTACACTCCCTGATAAAGAGTGTTTCCCCATCTCTCCTGTAGCCCCCTTTCAGCACTGGAAGCTGCTATCAGGTCTACCCGGAGCCTTCTCTTCCCCAGGCTGACCACCCCCAACTCTCCCAGCCTGTCCTCACAGGGGAGGTGCTCCAGCCTCTGACCAGCTTCGTGGCCTCCTCTGGACTCTCTCCAAGAGGTCCAGGTCTTTTTCATGTTGGGGGCCCCACATCAAACATGCTTTGCTACTGTCCTCTGTCCAGACACTAGCCTGTGCTACACACCCCCTTTTGGTGGAGAGGGAAAAAGAGGAGCAAGCTTTGTTTTTTTCCAAATCACTATGCTTTGTCCTCACCTTTTGAAGGGGTCTTGCTTTGCAAGGTAGCACTGAGGAAGCCATGTGCTGGGGAGTGCCGAGGGCGGACGCTGACTGACAGCTGCTGAAGCCGTCTTCCTCCGGCTTCTCAATGAACTGCGCATTTTCGTACAGGGAAACAGATGTTGGTGAGTGAGAATGGCTCATCCCCGTTTCAGCAGACGGCATTTGTACCTGACCACTGTCCTCTTCCCTGCACTGAAGACAGGAATTATATGGATCTGTTTTGCAACACTCCCAATGATCAGCTTTGCTTTCTTTGCTCTCCAGATTCCTTCGGCAATCTGCTTCCATGGCAGCAGAGATGAGATCGGGGCTGGAACCAGACATCCGCCTCTGCGCATGGTTACTGAGAGGGCTCCGCAGCGCTGCTGCGGGGCCAAAGTACCTTAAGTTGTTTGCGCAGTTGGCAATATCTTGTCCGTGGGCATGAAGCCGTGAGTGATGGCCGTGGGGATGGCTGTGGCCAGGTTGCTGCGGTAGGCCAGGATGAGGAGAATGATTATGAGGTGGAGGTGGGGGTGCATCATCTTGCACTGGCTGGTTTTTCAAGATCCCTGCAAAATCATTGTAGCTGCCTTTGCTGTTCCCTCGGCGGTGACGTGGCTTACTGCGGTAGCGGCTTTTGCCACTCAGTGTTGACATTTTGGGACTTCCTGAGACTGGTGAGCCATTGGATGCTGCTTCTGTGCTGGGTATGCCCTCTGACTTCAGGAGATCGGGCCTGAGAGACAGTCAACAGAAGTTACACATTAAACCACAAACTCAGAAATGACATCGGCTTGGAGCCAGGATGAAGGGCAGCTGTAGCCATAAGTACACTCTGCCTTCTAAAATCTACAGGCTTCCCTCCCCTTCAGCTCTTTGACTTCTACATTTAGTTTCCTTTGATTCTCTCCACCCAGTGTCCTTTCTGTTCAGCCCATCATGCTCTATACTCCTTTCTTGCTGCTTTTTCCAGTATCTGCCACACACCCTCCTTTTCCGCTCTTATTTTGATGTTCTGCTCCCAAAATAGCTCCCTCCTAAGACCTTGGTGTAGCACGTGTCTCTTCCTATGTGCATATACAACGCTCAGCACAATAGGGTCCCAATCTGTCGATGGTTATCAGCCTGCTCATTTCAGAAACACATGTAGATATTAATTCAGAAGTGATTATTCACTGTTGATCATGACTCTCCAAGTCCTGGAAATCCCAGAAAGGGGCAGAATAAAATAGACAACTCCTCTGGGGAAAAAAATATAAAAAAAATCTGATTTTCTGAAAGTCATGCAGAAGAGAAATAGCTGAAAGGACACCATGAATTCTCAAATCCCAATTTAATTCCTCAGCAATGAATCCATCCTCCCTGAAGACTGGCTCATTTCCACAGCCCCTCACCCTGCTTATTACAATTCAAATCAAGGATGATCTAACTGCTCTTTGCTTGGACAGAGAGGAATTTGAGACACATTAGATACCTCCTGACTTTTGATGGTCAAAGCACCATCATCTGTGAAAAGAAACATATGGACCAAACAGTTCCAGAGAGCTGCCCCGGTAGAAGGAATGGCAGGATTCATCCCTTTTACCTTAAGATAATTAAACAGTTGTGGTTCTGAGGATCAGACCAGGCCCAAGAGTGAACACCTTTTTGACCTGTCCCGTGTTGTCATCGAACTCAAAGGGCAGTAAGCTGCCGGCTCATCGTAGTGGAGATCTACCGCTGGTTCCTGGCACAGAACATGGTTGTTACTTCTTACCGTTTAGTCTGGCTGCCTGGTTTATGGGAGACCCCTTTCCTCTTCATCAGCTTCTCCACTGTATTGGGGTGGATTATTGGTCTGACTGGATGGCGTTTGTAAGTCCCAGGGTATTTCTTTTCCACTGCTTGTTCTCTCCTAAAACGTTGGGGAATTAACAAAAAAAAAAAAAAAAAACCGAACAGATCAGTTCTCTCTTTATCCAACTGCAGCTCCTGCTGGACAGAAAAACAGCTCCACTGTGAGCACTCTGTGTGCCTGGTTCTCAGCTATGGCCGGGTGCAACACAACAGACTACTCTGGGAAAGGACACAGTCGTTTTCTAAATTCTCTCTGCAGAGATCAGGCAGCTGGAACAGGGCCCTGGCTCACCATCCAGAAACAGCACACAAAGGGGGCAAAGGATGCCAACACGAAAGGGTCTCCCAGTCAGTAAATACTAAGTAAAGATAAGTGCACTAAGTGGTTGGTCTGCAGTAATCTGCTCTTAAGGGGCCTCCCTCTGCTTCCCAGCTCTTTCTTTACCCTGTAAGTTCATCAGGGGACACTAAACCTACAAGTACCACTATGCAGTTTAGAAATGAAACATTGGCTTTTCTCTCCTGTGTGCACATCACCACGTGCATGGCATGCCATTATGCCCAGAGATACATACTTTATGAGCTCCTTCTCACGGACCTCCAGCTGCAGCATAATAGCACTGAGCTCCATGTATAAGTTATTGGCTCGCTCCAGCTTCCTCTCATAGTGCTCACGGATATCCAATGCATGTCTGAAAAACAGAAAAGTAATTATTCCATAGTCTGATGTCCATGGACCAAGAGAGGAGAATAAGGAAAAGTACAGGTGCTTTAGGAAAAGACCTTCTAAGAAGTCAAAGTTGCCAGCTGTGTTGCACTGAACCCGAGGCAGAGCTAACAGCGAATGACGATTGAGAGCTTGGTACAGCAGTGAATCATGATATGATTTAGAAAGCATTTAACAGTCTTGAAAGAGTGGCAATGCTTCTCACTAGAGAAGCCGCAAATGCCTCACACACATCCACAAGCCTTTTGGCCAAGCCCTGACCATCCTGTTTGCAGACAGAAGGAGCTAAGTCAGCTTCCAAAGAAGCCAGGAAAGAAGTCATCTCTCTGTATTTCATAAAAAGCGCTATGCCCCTGCAGCTAACAGTATAGTTGGAGAAGACATCTAGAACCACAGCTGAAAGACGTGACCATCAAAAGCTCCCAAAGGCTTGGGAACACTGATCGACAACTACACCAAACTGGCTGAACGAGGCTGCCTCTGGTTTCTCAGGATTGACACCAAACTGCTACTTGGTGTTTTATGTTTCTGTCATAAGTATATTTGCAAATTTGTATCACAGAAGAGAACACTTCCCTTTCTTAAATAAACATTCTGCTTTCATTTTTAAGTTGGTTTCATGTTCAAAATGAGTTTCAGTGGGCTGATGGTGCGTTTGCTCACAGGGGGCTGACAGTATGTTCACTTCTTTGGAAATAACTAATCCGAAGAAAGTATCAGGGCAGAGAACGCTCACAGCAAACTGCAAGGTGTGTTTTCCAATGAGATGGTTGTACCTCCTTCACTGCTGTTATCACAAACACCAAAACTCAGGCAGAAATATTCCCTGGCAAACACACACACCTTTGCCCCTCTTTATGGGAGCAAACTGTTCGGACTGCCCAAGAGCCAGGACAGTTTCCACTGCTTCTGTCTCTATAGCTTTCCCTTGGCCAAGCAGTGCTCAAGGCCTAGGGCCTGCCTGTGGGAACTTCAGTTTCTGGACTCAAAAGGAGTCACGGCTCCAGGAATACTGAGTCCTGCTTTGGGATCCCCCGTACAGGAGGAGCGTGAAAACAGTCGGGGGCTGGAGCACGTGCCCTGTGAAGAGAAGCTGAGGGAGCTGGGCTCATGTAGCTGGAGAAGAGATGTCTGGATGGGAAAAGTGAGCAGTGAACATAAAAGACTGTCAACAAACCTCAGCTCTTCTCTTCGACGACGAATCAATTCTTCATCTAGCCGGTGGATACAAGTTCCTTCACTTTTAATTTTCTCAAAATGTTTCTTCACTTCTTCTCTCCATTCAGCCTAGGGAAGAAATTTACTTCAGTTATTTCCAATGGATTGGGATCCCTGGTTGCATCAAAAAAAAACCTCATGGGCAACATTCCTTGTGTCTGCAGAAAATTGCAGGTTTGGATTGAAAACATGTTTCTGTTAGCTGAATTATTTTCGGTAACAACATTGCAGCACGTTTAGTTTCAGCATTTTCAAACAGCATTTCTATTTTTGTGCTCAGATTAGACCATTTCAAACATATCTGCATTATCTAAAATATATTTTTTTTAATTTCTAAAGCTCTTTTTTGTCCTAAGGCAACATTTTCTTCCCTTTTGGCATTTAAAGTAAACCGAAAGGCTTATAATTTGGAAACCTGTATTCATGACAACAATGACTGTCATGACTATTAACTCTATTTGCCCCTTGAAGCTCTGGTTCTTGCAGCTTGAATAAACACACCCACTTCCTCATGTACACCCCAACACTGTAGAGAACCTCTGTACTGGAGACAAGGTTTCACATTCTCCTTCCCTCCTTGGAAGCAGACAATAGCACACTGGGTAGGACTCGGAGGAATCTCTAAGAACATACTTTTAGATCTTTTAGACCTGGAGTCCCTTCACTGCCCTGTAACAGCTCTTTGCCCACTGGCTCCCCTGCTCATCGTCACCATAAATGCAATGGTTCTGCTCTCAGCAGTCCCACGGTCTCCTGTGCAACAGTGCTGGGAGAACAGCTGGGAGCAGAACATCTGCAGTCAGCAGCCTCAGAGAGAAATGAATGGAACAACATTGAGTTTCTGACTGAAGTCAGCAGTGTCTCGGTTTGTGAAAGATTTAAAAATACCCATCAGTTTGCTGCTTCTCCCCAGGAATCACACTGAAATCATGGATCCAGACTTTCGCAGTACTTGATGCAGCCTCTGAAATCAGACCCTTGGAGCTCTACTCTGGTATTCATGGGCTGCAGCCATTCTCCAGTTACCTGTGATTTGAAATAGGTTTCCTGAGGAGTAGCCAGCACGTCAGCAGATGCGATATCCAGGTGCATCAGGGTCTGCCGGAAGGAGGGACGATTCCGGGGCTTGCTTTGCCTGCAGCAAAACAGACAAATACTCGAGCATGGGATGAGGTTAACACTGCTAGCTTCTCCTACCATTCTGAAAGGGTTTCTTGCTAGAACATATTCTCTGAATCATGTAGCCAACAGATTAGAGCAAAGGAGCTTTTCTGGTTCTCTCTTTTGCTGAATATGAGTTTATTGTGCTACAGTTGTTTTGTATTCAGTTTTTCGTTTGTAGTGATCTATTCCGAAGAAACAAAAAGTGATGAAAACCATTTAAAATAGGAAAATGTGATTACAAAGTGAAAGATAGGGTACAAACTGAAACTGTTCCTAACTTGTTTGTTAAGAAGAACCAGATCTCAGTTCACTATCATGCTAACTTCCAAATTTTATAATGGGAATACTAGTACAAACCTAGTTCAAATGCTAATTTACATTCAACAAAACCAGGTGTCTGTAAACACCAAATGTATCTATGTTGCCACATAGAAAATGCCTGAGCCTACACAGTATTGCAACGCACTGAACATCTCTGTAAGATCACATTCGAGTACAAAAGCCTTTTTATCTTTGAGAAAAGAGACCAGCACTGGAGCTGCAGGACAGAAGCCACCAGACTTGCTCCATGGATGCAGTCTGCAGGACAAGCAACAGCTTCTTCAGCCACCACTCCCCTACAAAGCCCTTACTTCCACTAGGTGGGGATAGAAGTGTGTGTACTCGGAGTTCAGAGAGGCGCGAACTGCTCCCTGCCTTTTGCAGCCACGGGAAGCAGCAGAACCAGGCAGAGCCCGTCTCTGCACAGAGACTGCAACTGCACAACCTGCTGCAGCTCAGCTCAGGGCGGTAAGCTGCCACTTGGAAAGATCCATAGATGCTCTGGCCTGTTTTTCCCTTTGGGCCACCGGGAGGATGGCTGGCAAAACTGAGAGCGGGAAAATGTTGGAAGAATGCTTACACTCTGAGTCAAGATGCAATTACAAAGACAAAGGATTAATGCATAACACAAGACAAAGAATTTCAACTCTAATCTGGTATGTGGAGGAAAGTGAAAGCATTTTCCATATCTATATCTGTAAAATCCCATTTTCATACACAAATCCTGAATTTATCTCTGTCCAGTTCAAAACCCAGTCACCCACAAGGGGGTTTCAGAGTTAAAAATAATTTCCTTTCACTCTGGAGCCAGCCTTAAGAAATTTTCCCCCTACTTTCCCTCCAGCTCCTTTTCTCTTCCCACAGAGCTACCTTTTATCACACACCACAAAGCAACCACCTCTGTGAAGGCTACCAAAGATGACCTTCATGCTGCCTGCTCCTGATTCACACTGGACAGGCTGCAGGGTAACTGTCACCCTGCTGGGGCTCCCATCAAGCTCTGCTCCCCCACTTCTCTGCTGTTCAACTCCTTCCCCCTCACTAGCCCTTCTCAACAGTGTGCCCGCTCCCTCCCCTGCCCCTGCCACCCACCAAAACAGACAGGTCTCTTCCTACTTCCTCTAAGCTCCAAATGTCCTTCTGGGGCCCAGGCATGCTGCCACAAGGAAGCAGAATCCCAAATGTTAAAATTTATTGCTCTAGTGACAAGTGTTAAGAGCCCTCTGCTCTTGGCCCAACACTCCCACCCTGACTCTGTTTTCGTTGGTTTTACTGGGGAGTCTGGGAAGAGCTGGGAGCCAGCCCCAGGTCTGTGCAGCGCAGAGTTCAGGCTCTTACCAGGTCTGCTTCATGAGGATTTTGAAGCCATCTGGGCACGTGGAAGGGACAGGAAGGTGCAGGCTGTTACTGCCCACTCCCCAGATGATGGCCGAAGAGTCCACGTCCTTGTAGGGAATCTCTCCCGTAAGCAGTTCCCACAAAACTACCCCAAACGACCTGGTGAAGAAATAAACCAGGAGAAAAACTTCTGTGTGAATTCAATTTAACAGAAACATCTGGAGCTTGGAAAAATCACTGTTTGGGAACTAGGTATGTCTGAGTTGAAATTGCAAGTAGGTGCAACAATGTTTAAATACTATTTTTTTTTTAACCAAGACTAGCTATTTCACACACCAGGTAACTCTTCCTCCTCTGCCCCAGCACTGGGCTGAACACCAAACCACACTGGTTTTCACCCACCCTTTCCTATTTCTTTTTGATATTTTAAAAATTCTGAAAGCACATTTTCTGTATAGATGAAATCTTACCCCTGTTAAATGAAAGGAAAGTTAGCTTTTCTGAGATAGACTTGTGACTGTTCGTACTAGTAAGAACAGATCACCTACTACGAGACAGGCAGAACTGATGAGTGTCTTACAGAGCCAACAGAACAAAGGCTGTGTTTTGTGGGCTTTTTTTTTTTACAAAAGTCCAAACCTCCCTTTGCATACACGTACTCCTAGGTAAGAGTTTTATAGGTTTGAGACTCGTGGCTGCAACTACTGCAAGATGGGAATGAAGAAACAAATCCAACATTGGTAAGTGTCAGCAACAAAACCACATGCAGTCTTGTCTGACGCTCCATTTGTGCTAAAGAAAGGAAAGCTTAAAAAAAAATAAAAATTAAGAGAACTCTGCCTGGACAAGAGCCTCCTACTACAAGGACTGAAAGATACAGGTAAGAAAACTTACTTTGCTTCTCTTCCTTAGTGAAATGATCAGTAATGATCAAAGCTTAATTTCTAACAGCAGTTATTTGTTTTATTTACTATCTTCACCCAATAAAAGACCAACAAAATATCAAACCAGTCAATACTGAGGTAAACAAGATGCTGCTGAGAACCACCACCACTCTTACTGCACATCACCAACCAGGCTGCGACACAGGGTGAGGTACAACCCTCTCAGTTACAAACCCAGACGTATCCCCTTACTCGCACGCCCCATCCATCCGTGGGATACCGGCCCTGCCAAGCTCGCTGGCAAGTCAAGCCAGGTGAAAAATGAGAAGTGTGCTTCTGGCTTGGACTAATATCAAGTTGCTTTTGTTAAATACAGAAGAACATCCAAGGGACAAACTGCCTGGGTCTGAACAACCAACAGTCAGGGAACAGAACTTCACGTGAAAACCATAACACTGTCAAAGCTCATTGGCTTCAAATCATGTGGGGGGAAAAAAAAAAAAATCAAAACAAGCAGAATTGGAACATTTTTTCCCCTCAAATTTTTCTCTGTGGGTTGCAGGAAAGCACGGGTCCAGGTGGTAGGACAAACTACCAGGAAACTCCATCTGGTTTCAGCGTTGTTATGATTAAGAGCTGACAAAGGATTTTCAAGACTCCTGATAAGATTATAGATTTTTTTTTGCCCCAGCATGTTGTTAAAGATGAGAGAGAGCACACATATAAGCAGCTTAGGAACTGTTCTAATTTGTTGGCAGTGTTCATGAACATGGCTTTTACTCATCCTGGGAGAGGAACGGATGTCAAGGAGGAGTCTGAGAAATCACTACAGCAGCAAACTCATGAGGAACTCACATCAAAGGCACCTCTAGGTTTGCACCAAAGAGCAATATCTCTAAGTCACTGAGGAAAGGAGTAAAGAAGTGCCCACAGTCCTCAGCAGAAGCAGCAGCCGGTTTTTATTGGACACGATGCTCCACACAATATTCCTGAACCTAAGCTACCCTAAAGGCCAGAAAGCTGAGGGTGGGAATCCAGCACCATTCCCTCTCATGAACCTGCGATTCAAAGGGAGGAGCTCAGAAGACAAATGGTGAGTGTATTTTCTTTCCAAAACAACCCAAGAGTTTCTCCTAGAAGAGCTGGCTATGCTATGGCATGCCACGTTCACACAAAATGAACATGCAAAACATTGCGGGCACAAGAGCTGTATACCGCACTTTACAAGACTTTCCCTTTCCCTGCAGGAAATCCTGACTTAAAGTCATGACCCAGCTCTAAGCTAAAACAACAGCAGCCAGCTGCTGTCTGACTCCACTCCCACTCTGAACCACCCGTGGCTTTGACCTGCAGCTTCATGCTGCACAAGGGAGGTGACAGCATTTGAAGCTGAAGAACCACAAGAAAGAAAATTCATCCTGGCTGTAAAACAGGGAGAAGGGCATTTGTCCTGGCTCCTGACATTTAATATGCAGAAATAACAAGGCAGAAACAGAGATGTGGTTCCCTCGAGGACCTCGAAACGTGCATCCCAAAGGAGCTGCCAAGACTGAGTCCTCTCTCAAGCATTTTTAATCACACAGAGATCAGAACCTTTCCTCATGTTCCTTTGGACACAGAGTACATTTCACAAGGGATAGAAGTAAGTCTTCAAAACTGACAATGTATCCTGGTCTCCTCCCTCTTGGATCCGGGGCTGGATTCACTGGCCTATAATCCTGTGGCTGTACACATAACAGCCAAGCCCAGTACGCAGAAAGCAAAAGCTGGCCAGACCCTTCAAGCTAGCAGAGTAGAGGCATCCTTACAGCTCAAGTGTGGCCCCGAAGAGGGTAGAAAGCAAGTGAGAAATACCCAGGGGGCTGCAGAAGTTGCGGAGGGGGCCCTCAGCACCAGGAGTGGAAGAAAGCTCTGGCCTGAATAATGCCACAGGGAAGAACTGTTGCATTTGCTTACTGCCAGACCCAGATCATCTGCACCCAGTCTCATCAAGTACCTTCAGATCTCGACACACAGCTTTGACACAGGTATGTCATTTCTCTTTCCATTATAGCCCAGTAACTGTGGTTCAGTAACAAAGTTCAGGGCACCAGGCAGATGGAGAAAGGAAGAGTCTACCACACAGCAAACTATCCCCAGGCCTAGGATGAGAAAAGGCTGCTGAAACCACTGGGAAGTGCTGGGAAATTGAGTGGCTACACAGAAGGTAAAGATACATAAACATGAATACTACTCACCAGATATCCACCTTTTCAGAGACAGGCTCATTGCGTATCACTTCGGGGGCCATCCAAGCCACAGTTCCCGCAAAAGACATTTTGGTACTTTTATCACTGAGTTCTTTAGAGGTACCAAAATCTGAAATTTTTACTGCATCTGTGTGTGTAACTAAAACACTGGAGAAAAAAAAAAAAACAGCATTTTTCAGTCTTTCTTGTGCCACAACAGCCACTGGGAGTAAATCCCTTCTTAATCAACACCAACAGTTGCTGAGGCCATGCTGTTCACAATTGCAGTACAAGAAAAAAGATTATGTATTTTCACTGACAAAAGCACTCACTTTCTTTGGGGTGGTTGTGTTTTGTGCCTCAAACGCATTTCTAAATGCTACAAGGCAAAAATCAATCTTGACAAAATTACAAATGATGAGGTCACTGAAGATTCACTATATCTGGGATAATTTCAAAATTTTAGTAAAGCTGTACCTTAAACTGTGCTGTAAAGCACGTAAAAGTGTTATCTTAACACACTGTAGCAGTCATGTTACAGGCTAAAGAAGTTATCAACATCTAGGGAATAAGAATATAAGCAGCCAGATGGTTTTAGTCAGAAAGCAAAAGAGAAATGAGAAAGATGCACTCCAGAAAACCAGGGAAATACAAACAAAAGAACAAATAAGAAGGAAAAACTAAAATGCAGAAGGCATTTATCACGTAAGACACTGGTAAAATTTCCAGTCTTGTTAAATTGCAGCACAGGAGGAGAGGGCCAACAAGTTTCATTAGTTTCACACTCATTAGTTTTGAGTCAATCTGGGAAAAAATAAACTGGGCTCTTGACCTAACTTTAAACTATTCCTCAAGAAAAAAAAATACATCCACACCTGGAGGATGCTTAAGTAGCTAGAAACTCACTTTGGTGACTTGAGGTCTCGATGGATGATTTTGTGGAGGTGCAGATAATTCATCCCACTTGCAATCCCCGTGGACCAATCCACGAGCAGCCGAGGGGTGACTTTCCGCCCCGCTCGCAGGACTTCGTAGAGCTGTCCATGTGCACAGTACTCCATGATAATACAGTAGCATGGGGCTTGAGTGCAAACTCCCCTGGCAAAGAAAACACACAGCCAGTGAGGATCAGGAAAGTAAACGTCCCAGAGCAACTCTCAAAGCTGGCAAGCAAGGAGCAGGAGAGTAACCTGTCTGTTCTGCCTGGGCCCCTGGTACTGCCTCCTTACTGACTGGGAAGGGGAATGTTTCCTGCCTGCTTTGCAGTGAGGAACCTCACTGGTGACAGGGGTGGGTTTCCTTCAGCTTCCACGCCTGCAGATTTGTAGGGTTCACAACAGACATTTTGTGAGCCTGCATGCAAAGTGCAGCACTGCTGGAAGTGGCGTCCATACCTTGGCTTTCACAACAATGCGCAACAATCTGAGAGGTAGCGTAACTCAATATATACAGGGTCACAGCACTGGCAGATGAGGGAAGAGTGACTAACATCAGCTACCTGGACTTGTGCAAGGTATTTGACGCTGTCCCGCATAACGTCCTTGTCTCTAAATTGGAGAGACACGGACTGAGGGATGGACCACTCGGTGGATAAGGAACTGGCTGGGTGGTCGCACTCAAAGCGATGAGGTCAAGGGCTCGCTGTCCAAGTGGAGACCGGTGATGAGTGGCGTTCCGCAGGGGTTGGTATTGGGACTATGGTTGTTTAACAGCTTTGCTGGTGACATGGCTGATGAGAAGATGTCCTTGCCCATGGCAGGGGGTTTGGAACTAGACGATCTTTAAGATCCTTTCCAACCCAAACCATTCCATGATTCTATGATACCTGCCCATTTTGTCCTACAGACAGCTTAGTCCCTGGATTTCAAAAACTTGGCCGGGGAACATAAGCAATATCCCTAGATAAAGGTACATTTCTAAAAAATTTCACAACCTACTTGAACGCAATGATGTTAGGATGTTTGAGTTTCCGCAAGTGCTTGATATCCGTTTCGTTCTGATCTCTCACTTTCTTGATGGCCACCTCCTCTGCCCGGAATTTGCCCAGGAAGACGGCTCCTTGCGCACCACTGCCCAGCCACTGCAGCTCTGAGATCTCCTCAAACGGGACCTCCCAGGTATCTAGGCACAGGCAAGCAAAGAAAACAACGTAAAAGATCAAGAGTAAAAAAAATGTTCTACTGCAAGATCACACCAGGACAGCACCTGCCACTTCCCTTGCTGTATCTTGAGGTGGGCTTTTCTGGGGGTGGCAGCTGGCATCTCCTCCCAGCAGAGGTGCAGCTGAGGCACATACCGCACATGCTCAGCCCCAGCTTCCCTTTCATCTAGCTCCTCTTCTCCCCCATCACGGTCGCCTCCAGCCTGCTCCTTCTATCTGTTCTTTTAACAGAGCTCACCACCTCTGCTAACCACTCGGGTGAGCCGCTTCGACCCAGCAGGCAGCAATGTGAATGTACCAGGGACACTGGATTGGCAATTTAGGGAGGAGGTTCTCTACTCCAAAATTGAACCATGATGGTATCTCTTATAAAGTACATTACTCCATTGAAAAGCATAGATGAGAAGAAACATTTAACATTCACAACTGACATAAAAAATATTGAGGGTTTTCCCCCACTGAAATAGGGCAAAAATAGGAAATACAAAGGAGAGACAGAGGTGGCAGGTTGTAAAACGCAGACCAGCAACCACCAAGTTACCCAACACAAAGCACATGAACCACCACCAGTCACACAAGCAGGTCTCTCCCACACCAAAATTGTGGACACTGGTATCAAACAGGCAAAAAAAATCATAAGTGATTCCTCCTCTTAGTCACCCGCGTGCATCTTGTAGGGATAGTGCCGGCGTGGTCCAGCAGCACCGTATAAACTGTTTCAAGACAGTTGTACCCGTCAGAACAGAAAGCCTTGCTGTCTGCGAGTCACCTTGAAAGTACTTTAACATCTCACAAACAGCAAGATAAAAGGCAGGAAATAATTTATTCACTGTAACACAATAAATGTGTAAGTTTAGAGAATAAATTATTTGGCATCAAAACCAACAAGTAAGCTGCTGATTTCTGAAATAAAAGAAAGTCACGCCTGTATAGATTCCTATTTCAGATCACTGCAGAGACATGCCTTTCATCCAGCCTCCGAGCCACTGCGCTGCTCCCAGGGCTGCAACTGGGATTATGCAGAAGTGTCCATTTTAGGTACTGTCACCACTGTCTCTGGACTGATCCTGATTCAGACCTCTCCCCCCAAACCATCCCTCCAACAGCCACACTCCAGCAGGATGTCTCCTGCCGAATGAATGACTGCTCTCCAGGCGCGGCCAAGGAAAGCCAGCTCCCATCCCCAGCCAGACCCCAGCGCTCCTTCTGCTCACTGAACTAGAAAAAAAACATTGTTAATCTATGGCAAAACTTCCCTTCGACTTGGCAGGGCAAAGTCCAATCCTCAGCACATGTTTCTTCACAGACAGAAGTCTATCTTTCATACTGATATATCCACTTGCAACCTTACGTTGTACAAAAATATTAAGACAGCACATTCAGCTCTCAGCTGAAATGCATTATAACTAAGCAATCCCAGTAACCATGGATTTGCAGTGGACAATCCCTATCCTCAAATTTTCAAGAATGCCATGACACTGTGACAGTGATATCGCCTACCAGCACATGTGTCCTTTGGTATTGAAGCAGGAAATGCCTTTCTGTGTAAGAACCTGATGCATGAAACATGCTGTGACCACTATCTTGGCCACAGGACATTCAAGTATTTTCAAATAATAAATGTCCTTCTTCAAAGAACTCAAGCAATTTTTGGTCACAATACTTATAATTGGTATTTAATTCTTTAGACATTTAAAGACAGTTCTTTAATTAAGGAAATAAAAGAAAATAAGCAAATTCATAAACAGAGAAGATCTGTATTTCTATTTAATTCACAAATGCATTGCTTCTGAAAGAAGGTGGCAAATACAGTTGATTTTTGTGTTTGTTGATGAACAGTATTTTTACATGGGCAACACTGAAACTATTCCGTTGTACAGAAACAGCTTTACCTGTGAGAAGACTGCCTTTCCTGTACAAGGCCCACAACGTTGTCATTTATTCCCCTGAAGCACCTGAAGTTTGTGCGCAGTAATGGGTAACTATACTGCTGTCACTCCCAAGAGCCCTAATTTGCTCTTAATATTACCTACTAACCTCCGCAGTGGCAAAGGCAGGGAGAGATTGTAAACAAAGCAAAAGCTCACGCACTACCTCCTGCAAAGTCATCTCTTGTTTATCTGGCCAGATCCATCCTTTCCCGTATCCCACCTGTACCCTTATCATCAAGGGCACCATTCAGGAAAGAGGTTTCAGTGTAGCAACAATCAGTGAAACATCCTACATCTTTGGGAATTTCAAGAAGAGGAAAGAGTCAAACCATAGGTAACATATAATGCAGCAGTAACACAAAACCAACCAACCAAAAGCTTTCACCACAGAGGAACGTGTTACTAGGTTTCAAGACAGCCAGCATCAGCGATTCATTTGGGTCCCATAAACACATCAAGCACTGAAAAGCTTCCCAAACACAGCGATGCTGGTGCGGAAAAGCACTGGACCACACTCGGCTGCAAACCAGGGTTTGTTAGCATTAGCGGTGCAAACCTGCATTTTCTACTACAACCCAAATCGACCAGCTGAAAAATACATCGAAGTTACCCTGCATGTGTGCTCCCTGCAGCTCCCTGGGACCACCCTCCAGGCCAACAGGCAGACAAGGGTCAGTATCACAAGGTCTCACCAGTTCTGCAGAGGCTGGAAAAGAGACCGAACGCCCCGCCAGCTGAACACAGCCGAGAGCTGAGGCCGTGCACAGCACCTGGGTGGGAGGTTACGAAGCTCTCCCCACCGCCTGCACTGAGCAGACCCATCCCAAACAGCCCACAGTACCTTGAAATAAAGAATTACGGCTGCCCCAGCTGCAGCACAGCTGCACGGCAGGTACAATGGGAAACACAGCGTGCAAGAGCTGATGCAGAGATCTCCGTCATCTCGGCCAGCAGGTGGAGAAAGAAGAGGACGTGCATAAACCAGCTGCAAGAACTCGGCTGCATGGCTATGATGACTAACCTTAGTTAAGGCAAAGTGCCTGTCCAGAAGTGTAACGCCTCAGATTATAACAGCAGGGTGGCAAGGAGACACTTCTGGACACACACAAGGCTGCCAGCCTTGTTCAAGAAGTCCATCAACATTGCTCAGCTAAACATCCTTTGAGATTACCCAGGCTTCAGGGCTTGCTACTCCCCCCTCCTCCAGCAGAAGAGAGCCAAGGATATCTCCTACCAGGACTGACCAGTTTTTATTCCAGACTCTTCTGGGCCTAGAGAAACCTGTGGGATACTTCCCCTAAATATTTTTTTTAGCAGGAATTATGCAAGAACTTGTGTTTCTAAGGTGATTAAGAACCATTTGAGTAGAATGATGGGAATCTGTTTCCCATGGGGAAGAAAGGCAGGAGCAGCCTGAGCCACTGAGTTAATCTATCCGAAGCAAATTTTTGCTGTTTGCCAGCACTGGCTGCTCACCAGCATTGGCATTACGACAAGAAGTATCTCTGGTTTACAAAAAACCCAAAACACAAGCACACTTTGTAAAGCACCTTGCTCTCCAGGTTTACACAAAAATGCACATGATGACAGTAAACACATAACTTGTGAAAGGGAAGGTGAAAGCAACTCCTGAAGACAGATTCTTAATCCAAAGGAAATGGCTCGGAAGTCTAATGAGTCCATAGGAAACACAAACAAGTCTTACTATAAAGTGCTAGAGTCCCAGCGATCCAAACGAAACAACTGGCAGACACAAATTAAAGTACTAAGTTATATTGCCCTGAAAGCACTCACCGACAGCCTTTAGAAACCAGCATAAAAAATTGTAAAAACATAATCAGGAGGGATTGAGAGCAGCCCTGCAGAGAAAGACGTGAGTGTCCTGGTGGATGAGAAGTTGGACATGAGCCGGCAGTGTGCGCTTGCAGCCCAGAAACCCAACCCTAGCCTGGGTTGCATCAAAAGAAGCGTGGTGAGCAGGTCGAAGGAGGGGATTCTGGCCCTCTGCTCTGGTGAGACCCCCCCC